TTTCCTGCAAATAAGGAATGAGTCACTTTTCTTAAATTACAGCAAATGAATTTCGTTGTGTTTTATTGATTGCACATCAGCAGTGGGGATACATTGCACACAGAGATATAATGATGCTCAACGGTTTTGCTTGTGCTCAGGTAAAGTACCGTGTATCCTTGATGTAACACGGTAGTATTGTCTTGTGGAAGGAGTGCCGGACTTGGACGTGAAACACCTTGGTTCAGTTCCTAACTCTGCCTTGCTTTGGTGGGTAATATTGAGCTAATCATTTCCCATCTTATGGCTCAATGCTTTTATTTGTGAAAGGGGGGATTATGACACCGGTCTCATTTGTAAAGTGCTTTTAGATCCATGGATCTACAACCTAATGAGAAGAATTAGGTATTATACATTTATATTGTAGTTTCATAGACTGGTATTGCTGATCACGAGTCTGGAATATTTTGTCTTGAGCTAAGGTTGAGCTAGGTTCTTAGAGTTCAAGATATTGTTGCAATAGGGAGGATGTCCTCAAAGTAAAAGTATTCTGGAGACTTGAGGCTGCTATAACTCTGGCTTGTATAGGTAACCCTGCAGGTCTTGATCAGTCCCTCCAGAGTACATGTAAGCATTGATGCTACCCCTTTCCTCTGCATGTCCTTTCTAATTCTCTAGTTAATTATGCCATAGATTTAAGCAGAGGCACAAGAGGATAGCTCCGCACATGGGGCAACTGTATCTCCCCGTTGCTTGTGTCAGTGGTACTGGCAGATGGCAGCGGCAGCAGCTTGTATTTTTCCAACCTCCTTCTTCCCCTGCTGTTTTCCTCTAAATCAGTGCCTAGAGCTGCTACCTCCATCACCCTGCCTTAGTCCTGCTACTGGACATGTGCAATATGTGCCTGAAAGAGATCTATATTAGAGGTGGTTTTGAATGTACATTAGGTTGAGACTGGGATTTGAGGCCAGAATAAGACTAGAATTCAGGTTTTGATTTGACAGTTTTGAAATCTGGTGGTCCCTGTCTGTGAAACCTTGGGGGATGAGGGATTTTGCCTGCTGATATTGAGCTGAAATGTCTTAAATACCACTGCATCCAAACCAGGACTGGTGACAAGCTGTGTTTGGTTTGAGACCGGTTTAAACATAGGTTGGGGTATGAGGAGTCACAAAGTCCCAAGGCATTTACATTTGATTTTGTCCCATTTTCAATCTTGTCATCCTCAAATAATTTCTAGGTAATTCAAGAAGTCTGTCATCTTTAACATAGTTGATGTGGGTTATGGCTGTAGTAACTAAATAAGACAGCAGTTTGAGAGAGGAAATGAAGGCCGGCTTCCCTAACTGAACCTGGAGGGGAAGTTTAGGTTTACTGAAGTTAATAACCCAAGTCAGTAATTCAGCCAGATCACAGAGAGCAGCAGTGCTTCTCTTGTGTGAAAACTTCCATGGGATCTGTTGATGACAAAGCGATCAGGACTTCAGTTTACTTGAGAGGCAGCCACCCCTGCTGCAGCGTGCTGTACTGGGACACAAGTTTGTTCCTGACTCAGAGAGATAAAAGCAACCTTCAAACAGCCTTTTGTGCCATAGCTTGGTTTTTTCCTGCTGGTTTAGGAGCTGAGTGCTGTCTGCACCTGACCCTCCACTAGTCAGATCTGAGAAGAACAGTTCATTTTATTGTTTCAGTGTTGTTATATTATTCTAATAACTCTACCTGGTCCATCCTCGTTCGGTTTGTATTGCATCCACTTGCTGTATTCTTGAGAGTCCCCACACCCAGAAATGACTTCTTGGTCACAGCAACAGCCACACCACGATGGGCCCTGTTCCTCGATTGGGATTCCCAGAAAGTGCCACTGTTGACATAATTAATAACAAGTATCTACCAATTACTTTTTTTTGCGACATAGCTATAAATTATGCGTGTGGTGCCATGAAGCAATAGGCAATTCCTACCATATTTCTGCTCCAGATACTAGTATGCAGGAAGGAAGAATGTCAGAGTCGGTAATAATTGCCTCAACACTATTGTGGTAAAAAATGATCATTTGTGGATGCATAGTAACTGACTTGGGAACCAAACCCAATGTGGAGCAAGCTCCCACAGAGAACTAAACATCTCAAACCTCGCTGTTGTCTGCTTTAAGGCATTTCTTTGACCGTGCCCCCTCTGCAATAAAAATATGGGAGGGCAGTGGCCAGTGTGTGCCAGAATAACCACTCCTTTGAAAACATGGGGAGAGGATGGGGTGGGAGAAGAAACCTATTCCAGATGTTATTCATGTTACTTAATACACTACCAGAAGGTGCACAGATACTTTGGTGATGGACAGAACAGAACAGAACGGAAGAGATCAGAACAGAGGCGTCATAACAACAGGACATTTCTCAACAGCTCTGTTTGGCACAAATCTGTAGTTAAGTCTGCATAACTCCGTTGGTGAAAATCTGGCTGACTTCTTCTCTTTTTCCCTTCAGATAAAGAATTCATTTATAGAAATCAGAACGGCACCGTAATTCTGCGGAACGTTGAAACAAACAATTCAACGGTATTAATAGAAAACAGAAAAATTGTAAGTATTTTCTCTAATGAACAAGATAATTTCAGAGTTTTTGTGCATTTGGGTCAATAAAGCGGAAAATGACTTTTAGCTTTCAACTTCTTGTACTGTCAAGCAGAAGCAATAAACTTGTAATACCGTGGGCTAAGCAAGGATAATGTGAAACTGAAACCATGCTTTCTCCATTAAGGTAGGAGCTCAGTTTCCTTCATTGTACTAAAAACACTCCACAAATATTTGAAGCAAGTCTTGCATATAATATATAATTGAAAGATAAAGAGCAATTTTACACATTTACTTTTCAGAACATCGCAATAATGTGTTTATAATTTGCCACAGATTGCCGGGATTTTTCTCAACTCCTCTCAAACAACTATTTTTTCCTACACTTGGAGAAATGCTGATTTCAACTTTTATTCAGATGATGACAGTAAATGTTGTTTAACAGGGGAGTTTCTGAATAGCGGGACATCACGTTATATGAGGCTACTGAAAAAAAGCATTATTGGAATACGGCACTCGTAAACAGTTATTGAAGTAAATTGAGGAATCTGTGTTTAAGGCAGAATAGTATCCATGTAGAAGATAATGAAATGTTTTGTAATGTTAATTCATGTACCAAATGAATCCCAAATGAAGTCAGAGGTTACTACTTTAAATACTAAGAGGTTATCAACATTTCCCAGGAAAAAGAATAGGTATGTTAGTAAATGCCAGTTGCCTGATAAAGTGTAGTTTTGCACTTGCAGGGGCAATGAATTATGAACCCTGTTGCTTTTCTAAGATCATTGGTCATGCATTTGAACTAAACATTTCATTTATTTGATCAACTAAAAATTATTATTTTTTTCTGTGGAGGGGACAAAGTAGAAACAAAGATAAATATTGCAATAAATTGGAGTTTAGGGAACAGAAAATGTGCATCAGCCCCCAGAAGCTGGAGGGAGCAGGGTTGAATGTTAATGACATTCCTCAGCCTGACAAAGGGTTTTTAAACCCAAAAGCTTGCTAAAACGGTTTTCCAACTATTTAAGTTGGTTTAATAAAAGATTGATATTTGTTATTAAACCAACTTAAATTCACCCATGAAACCTTGTCTGCCAGTGACATTGTGCGTCCTCCACTGATGCTTCAGCAAACTTCAAGAAATGTCTGTGGGACTGAACTATTAAGCCTGTTAGAGCTGATTCCTACAGGTTCCTGTACCACTTAGCCCCTTTAGCAGAGACCTTGAGGGCAGGTAGGGATGGAGCAGCAGGGCTATGCTTAAAGCTGAGGGGTTTGTTTTCTATCCCTCTGTGGATGTCCTCATACTTCTAGGATTTCCCATTTCTGTTGTACCTCATTCTGCTCAGTCAGAGGAGAAGATCTACAGCCTCAATGGTACCGTGTTCATTATTTAACATTGGTGCTCTGATATAGGAGGGTTTGATTTTTTTTTCTTGCCATATAAATCTCTTCCAACCTTCCCTCCTAGCCACCCCAGCTAATATCATCCCATTTTGCTTTCTGTTCCACTTACTGGAAGCAGCCTTTAAGGAAGCCATTTAGCCAGCCTCTTTCGTTGGGGAATCCCTCACAGGCAATTAAGCTGCCTTTCTGCCAGTCTTGACCTAGTGGAACGGTGCAGGGTAACACTGCATTTCTCTTCCTCCAGGTTTTGGCTAAATGAAAAATGGTTCTCTTTCCAAAATGCAGGCCGCACATCTGTTTGCAAATGCAGTGCAAAGCCAAAGCATGCTCAACACATTTACAGAAGGGGTGTAGTGAATGAGTCTGGAAATTACAGCATGAACTCAGTCTTTGGGGGGGAAAGGGAATAGAAACACATTTTTGCTTCAAGAACACAATAAGAACGCATTCAAAATTGCCTTTGCTCTACAGCAATCTCATATTGTTCATACGAAGTGCTCATATGATACGGATGTTTGAAAAAACACTAAGCATCCACTGCTGAGGGGCTGATACTTGAGCATTTTTTCATTGTACTGGATCCAGCCTGATAGGCCACGTTTTGATTTAATCTTCACACCTTGCCATATCTCCCAAACTGTACTGCTCTACCATTACTGTGAAGCCCTTCTTATAAGTACTTCATCCACAGACAGGTGCTGCACATCTAATTACATCAGTCACTTATTCACTGGCAATTTTACAGGGGAAGATCCACCAATTCAGTTGAGCCACAGAGTCATGGCCCAGAGCTAAAAAAGGGGGACGATAAATCAACAGCATATGCTTTTAAGCACATGCTGCTAGTACTCTGATGTATGTCTTGAGCATGTGGAAGTGGAGTCTGGTTCAGGTTTGCATTTTTCTGCTTGTGAAAAAAGGCAATTGCCATCCATAACTTTTTTTTTTGGGGGGGGGGGGGTTAAAGGGGACATGACTCCATTTGCCATCCATACCTTTTTTTTTGGGGGGGGGGGGTTTAAAGAGGAACTGTATCATAGATCAGATGTCATGTTTTTACCCTAGAAAAAAATCCCAAGCCCCCTGTGTTCTCTTCCTTTCATTTTCTGTCAGCCTTCAGTGTCTTGAGTTAAAGTGTAACTATCTTTTTTGCCATGAGAGTTGAATTGAGTCTTCTCCAGTACCAATGAGTTGTGCTATTTGGGTCAGTGCAGAACTGTCTCAGGTCTCATGCCTCCTCCCATATGGTGTAAGAATATCATCATCCCAAGTCTGTGACTCTTTCTTTTACACATTGTCTGCTTGGCAGTGCCATGTGTTGGGCGTAGACTAGCTGGAGGCATATGTTGAACTCTTTTTCCAGCTGCATGTGATGACGGTGTTTACGGCTGTTCTGTGCTGTTCATCCCACAGAGAACTGCACTCTGTCTAAAGGAGCTGCCTAGATTTGTTTAACACCTAACAGCTCTTCACTGAACTCATGCTTTTTTTAATTTGCTATGGCTTTGAATAGACTTCACTGTCTACTCTTTAGTCCACTGCCTCTTGATTTTTCCCATTCAGGTAGCCCACTTCTTTCCATCTCTGCAGCTGTCTGGTTGCCCCCAAAACATATATGCATTCTGCAGAGGATGGAGCAAGAAGCTCCATGTGGCAAACCGCACCTTTGCATCAGAAAGCCACTGCTGTGCCTTGCTTTGACATGCTGCCTTTCTCTCCTTGCATCCTGGCCTTGTGTTGCAACTTGGCCTGTCCTCCTTCCTCTGCATTATTGCTATATCTGCAAACAAAATCTGTCTTCATGCTGATGGTGCTGGCAGGCACACTCTTCCTGGCACCCCTCCACTCTAAACTGCTTTCTCTGCTCCCTGCCTTCCTTTGCCTTTGGATGTCCCATCTGATTCCTTATGTGCTCAGGCATCTCAAGTACTCCTACTGACCTTGCAGAGGTCTTCTGCTTCTGCAACACTATATATGTTCCCCAAGCCCAAGGTCCCCCTCTGTTATGCTACTAGGTAATCTTTCAAAGAATGCCGTCCAATTTGTCGGATAGGAGAGCGAGGCTTAAAAGCAAGCAAAAGAAAGGCATACACAAGTGACCTCTTTTTGCCTTTGGCATGATGTGAGCTGGCAATATGTATTAAAACGCAGGGAAGAGCCATCAGCACTATAAAAGTTAGAGGTAGCGCAGGAAAGAGAAAACTCTGGACGAGCATTATGCATTTCAGGATCTGCTCTCTATTAATTCTAATAGAGCTAGAATTTAACTGTCTGCAAAGTGCTGAGCAAAAGGGGAGGTCTGCAGAAAGCTCTGGGAGCAGTCCCTGAAGAATTTTGAGACCAGGACAACTTTTAAGGCACCACTCCCTTAGAGTAGGGGGTAAGCAGTTGTAACAGTTTGCTGATGACCTGTGATCCAGTGATTCTGCTACTTGGACCAGTGATTCTGATACCACCCAGTTCCTCCAGTTTGGGAGGAACTGAGTGGTACCAGCTTTCCCCTTTTCTCTTCCTCCTCCAAACACATTCCTGCCCCTCTGATGCAGTTCTGCACTGTAGGTTAGCACCTTAACAATTCTGAACTACGCAGTTCTGCACTGCACTTACTCATTATGGTAAGGGGATGGGGAGCTCGATTCCTTGGGCAGCTTCATTGACCAAGTCACAATGTAGTTTTTATATGTCACCATATGGTGTGCTGGATATGTTCCATACCCTGCTTCCTGCTTGAGGAGTCCACAACCTAAGAAGGTGCAAACATTGGCTCAATCTTGTAAAAGTGGATGCAACCTCCTCTGCGTGGCATTATCTTTGGTTTCATCCCCTTGTTTTAGTGCACATTCACTCTGCTCCTCCTCCAACAACTTTTTTGGTGTGGCTTCATGTAACTGGTACTGGAGATGGACACAAACATGAGGGAAGGGAATAACCAAAGGACAGAAATATGTGAGAAAGTGACACAGAGTGGTGCAGATTCCTAGCTCCACCTGCACGTTTTTGGGGTTTGCAAGGGATAATCAAACAGCATTTTTCTCCCTGTACCTGCCCACAAATTAATTCCAGACATGGGTTGTTTTAAACCTGTAAAATTACGTGTGTATTTTAATATCTGTTTGTTTTCTAGGTTTCCTTAAAAGCTATTCGGTATGAAGTGTCACCTGACCGGGAGTATGCACTTTTTGCATTTAACATTGAACCGGTGAGTAAATTGACTTGATTTTATTTATTATTTTATTTATTGACATATTTTATTAGTCTTCCTTCCTCCCCCACCAACTTTGATGATACTGATACACTGCTCAATTCAACTGATCACTTTAAAACAAATAAACCAAAAAGCCCCTTCACTGCTACTGGATATATTTTCTAAGCATGTCACACTGCCATCTAGTAGATGGCAAAGGTATAAATAACACCACTGAGAAAACATTGTCAGTGCCTGAGTTTTATAGGCTTTGGGTGGGAGATTATAAGGACATGTCTTTGCTACAAGGATTTCTGTTCCCCCTTTGTGTAATTTTTTTCCATGTCTCCTTTCTCAGTCATGCTATAAATTTCTTCCCAAGAACAAAAAGCAACTGTCAGTGTCTCCCACAACCGAAATAATACATTAATTATGGTGTCACTGTTCCCAGTGCTGCAGTTAAGGTTGAGCTATCACTTTCATTATAAACCAGTTTCTTCAGCAGCTTAGACATAAATCACCTATAAAAATTCACCCCAGGTTACCACAAAAAGATAGACCAGGGCTATCTTTTCCTCCAAATTAAAAAGGAAATAAGTGCTAACTGATCGTTTTTAAATGATAATGAAGTAAGAGTGAAATTTTGTAGCCTGGGATACTTTTGGGGGGCTTGCATGAAGCTTATTTTCCTTGATCACCTAGTATGTAGGAAACCTGAAAATTTTGAGTGATGAGTGGTTAGCACTGTCTGGGGATGTTAATAAGTACAGAAGTTTTGCTTTAATCATTTATAATAGCACCAGCATGATACAGTAGAAATAGCTCACCCATTGTCTCTTGGAGTCTTGTGCTTAAATAATGCAACAAGTTTTAAGCAATTACTGAAAGGACTGGCAAGTTTCTATTGCTTTGGAGAGATCAGGCAGAAAGCAGGCAGGATACCAGCCTAGGGTGTTTGTACACACCACTTTTTTGCCCTTTCTGCCACTAATTTGTTCACAAGTTTTTGTAAGTGATGGCCTGCTTTGTCAGATGCTATGAATGGACTTGAAGAGAGCATGGGTGCTAAAGAGAAAGGAATAAAGTCATTTAAATAAGAAGGGTAGAAAGCAGGGGAGGAAAGGATAGGAGGAGGGAGCGCTGCTGAGAAAGGCTAAGATAGTTGAAGAGATTAAAAAGCTAAACAAAGTAGTAAACACATTGAGGGACACAAGGGTTATAGAAGCTAGTCCAGGTAAGACTAGGGATAAGAATCCAGAGTCTCTGTAGAAACCATACTTAACACAGTCCAGTCTGTGGACGATTGCTCGTTTCACGGTTCCATGTTCCAGTTTTTCATTAAAGTTTTGTTGTTCAACAACAGCCGCTCTGAGGTCAGCGGTGAAATGTCCAGGGAGAGAAAAGTGTTCTGCCACAGGCTTGTCTGTCTTTCTGGAATCGATTTCAAATTGGTGTCCATTCATTTTTTCAAACAGAGATTGCCCTGACTGCCCAATGTAGACCAACTGCAAGCAGGTGATAACATATATGATGTTGGTAGAGAGGCAAGTAATTAGCCCCAGATGTTAGGACCCATGTTGTTTGGTCCACTGATGATGTGGTGTGTGTTGATGAGGGGGCCCAGCTGCATCTGGTTCTGTAGCAAGGCCTGGTGGCTTGGTGAGAATAGGAGTTAGGTAGTCTGTTGCTGGAGAGACACGTGAGGTTGAGGGGCTGCCTGTCCTGCTTCTCATCTCACTTCTTCATTGGATATATACTTGAGCAACAGTGGTATGGCTGACAGTAGAGTAATGCCTAGAGTTAGATTAACGTCATGTGGAATGGCATTGGAAACTTTTGGAGTCATTTGCATGGACTGCTTAACCCAGGAAGCAACCTGCTGAGAAATAGTCCTTCATTCAGATTGAACTGAACACAAGTGAAAAACCTTTTCTTAATGCTCACGTGTGCCAAAGGTTAGAACTCTGCTGAAGAAGTCATTGCAGGGTTTTAAGGAAAGAGTATTTGAAGGAAAGAACTGTAAGGACCATCTAGTCCAACCTCCAACATAGATACGGGATGTGCTATTCCTAAACCATCCCAGACAGATGCCCAGCCTCTTCTTGAAAACCTCCAATAAATGAAAATCCATAACTTCCCTGCCTATCTTGTTCCATTGTCCTACTGTTCTTACATTTGGGTTTCTCCTGAGAGTTTATTTTAGTCTCCTTTGCTGCAGGGTGAACCCTCTGTCTCCTCTCCTGCACTCCTTAGCAAAGAAGTATTGGACTTCTTAACCTTTTTCATGGCAGCCTTTCAAATGTTTGAAACTGTTGTCTTGTCCTCTCTACTTCCCTCCACAAACTCCTTTCTCTGGACAAAAGATATCTAACTCTCTTATCTTTTTCCAGCTATTATCTTTGTCACTTGCTTTTGGATCCTCCCCTGCTTTCCTACATTCTTCTTAAAATGCAGCTTCCACAACTGGACACAGCACTGCAGCTCACACCTAAAGAGCACCAAGAAGAATGGTACCGTTACCATTACCTTTGGTGTTTAGCATGCAATACTTCTATAAATGCGGCCCCAAATTATGTTTGCTTCTTTAGCAACAGCATCACAATAGTGGATCATTTTGAGGTTGTGATCCAGCAAAACTGCCAGATCCTTCTTGGCAGTTACCCACCTTCTATATGTGTGCATTTGGTTTTTCTTTCCTAGATGTAGCCCCTTCCATTTGTTTTTGCTAAATTTTTGTTTGTCATTGATAGACCAGGTCTCTCATTTATCGGTAGCCCATTGACTTCTAATCCTATCTTCCATGATGTTTACAGTCATCTGCCAACCTGATCAATAAGCTCTCTTCATTCCTGCAAACAAATAATAAAAAAAAAAGGTTAAACAGCTCTGGACCCAGAACAGGCCCCTATGGAAACCCATGTGAGACCTCCTGCCATTCTGACATTGATCTATTTATGGCTCCTCTTTGCTTGTGGTTATTTAATCAATTCTGTATTCACCTAGTGGCAATTCTGTTTAGCCCAAACAGAAACATAATGCAGCTGGGAGCAGTAACGGCCAGCACGATCATGCCCACCCCAAGTCAGCACCCAGGGCAGCTGCCATAGTCACCCCACCCCAGTTGCACTAAAAAGCCCACATTTTTACAGCTTTCTTAGAGAACGCCACGTGAGAATGTGTCAAAAGCCTTTCTAAGGTCATTGTATATTAAGTCTACTGTATTTCCCTCATCTACTAAGCTAGATATCCTGTTTCTCTTACATTTTAAAAAGCATTAGTATAGAAGAGCCTGCCTAATGTTATGATTTCACAAGCAGAAAGGAACTGACCTGTAGAGCTCCTCTTGTAATTATTATAGGGATTGGCCACTCTGGAGGAAAAAAAATTATTTGAAACACTGCCAATTAAATCACTGAATTTGCATGGTTCCCTTCTGGGATTAACATCTAGAGAAAGCTCTGGGGAAAGAAAACCTCTTGGTTACCTTCAAATACTTGTGACCATATTGTGGAGAAGAAACCACAAATTTCCTCTCCTTATCATCTTCCCCCAAAATGTACATGAAACTCCAAAGATCTGCCACTGGCCAAGAGTCCCAGCATGTAGATAGGTTGGGGGAAGTGGAGCACCAGCTTGGGATACTGATTTTGAAGAGGTTGCCAGCAGCATCTCACAGCCCTCTGCCACAATCTCCTCCCTATTCTCAGACACCCAAATTGCTAGTTATGTCTCTGCCAGGGCCTGTTCCCTTGCGCCTCTTCCATGGTCCCTTGTAAGTCAAGTCTGATCCCTGTTTTCAGAAGAATTCGTCCTATAGGCGGTGATATGTTCTTTCCACATGTCCCTTCCTTCTTCACCTCCAAACTTGGATGGAGAGATCCATGGAAATTAAAAAAAATAAAGAATGTTTTTTGCAACTATTTAGTTGGTCTAATAAAAGATATCACCTCTGCCAAAGGTTCTGCATATTTTTTGCCTGTAGACCAACACAGCTAAAACCTGTATCCCTGAGATCCATGGAAGTTTTTCAGTGGGATATCAGGGATCCTTGCAAAGAGGTTTCTCAAATGTGCAGTGGTAGAGAGCAATGTGTATTCATGCTTAAGAGTCCTTCCTGATGCCTCAAGCTATTAGGAAAGGAAAATGTTAGCTTTAAGAATGGAAATGACCCTCTACACAGATTTGGGAATGTTTCATACTTCTGCTTTTATCACCTTTCCTACATAATCTGTAGTCCTGTGTGTTGTTAGCCCCAGCACCCAATTTACAAAGCTAGGCACCTAAATTAGGGGGCTCCTCTTTGTATCTGAATGTTCAAATGAACATTTAGACATCTCAAGCAGGCATTTGAGCATCTAAGTGCTGACTTGAGAACCATGATGTAACATTAAGGCCTGTAAATTAATACAAATGTGCTCAAGGCATTCATATCTCAGATTGTTACAGCAACTGTATTTAAACATACAGAAGAAACCTCTAATTTCTTAAAAGGAACCCCTCCATATTTTCAACCTGGCAGTTTATTTATTTTCATACTTGAATCATTTACCCATAAACTTTGTTTGTGGCTCTTTGATTATTGGGATGTGCAATAACTAGTACTCAATTACTTATCCAGATTTATTATCATTTTATATGCAGACTGTGGTTGTAAATGACCTCACATATCAGTAAACATTTCTTATTTTCTCATTTGCCTAGTCAGATAAAATTAAAACGCTGCTGGTTTCTGCAATGCGGAAGCTCCAAAGAATTGATTGTCTCTGGACCATGGGGAATTGCAAAAGCCAACAGAAAGTTTCAGGAACTATGTTAGCTATTACATTTTCACAAGTTTTGGTTTAATTCCGCAAGTTCTTTAAAAAATAGTGCAAACTGGTACACTGATTTTATACAAAGTATAATAATGTTCTTAAATAAGGATTTCTATTAAATCATTCATATATACAATATATTTTATTAATAAGTAGTATTGAGAAGTTGTTGGCCTTGTTAGTCTGAAGTCAAGCAGAAGG